AATATATATTATAATATAACAATATATATACAATATACAATATACAATATATATTAATATAATAATATATATACAATATACAATAATATATATTAATATAATAATATATATACAAAATAAAATGATATATATTAATATAATAATATATATACAATATACAATAATATATATTAATATAATAATATATATACAATATACATAATATAATAATATATATATATATATACATTATACAATAATACAATATATTAATATATTAACAGAGTCTTTACTATATGAAATATGTTTCATATAAAGCATGTATTTATTACATATTGTATGCATTGTATTTATCGTAAAAACAACAAGATATATCATATATCGTGCACATAATTTATTTATTTGTTATACTTTCACACAGCTTTTGCAATTTACTTCTGAGAATACTTGCACGTAATACTTATTATAATTTATATTTACTTAGGTCGTAAGATTTCCAAGCAGAAATGTATTTGAATTTCCTGTAAGACCACCTGGAACCAATTCGACGAATTGACACTGGAATTTCTACAAATTATTCTCAGCGATGATAGTATTATATCGAACATCTCAGAAAATCTGAATGAATCGGCCTCTCTTCTTTCGTTTCTTGGCGGAATTTTTCACCACGTGTCGGCGCGTTTCCACAGGTAAATGTTTATCGGATCGATCGACATTTGCCTATCGGCCTCGGGTGAAACGAGAACGATATTGTTTAAAAATGGCTCCGCGCTGAGTAAGACGGAGCGGGCTCCGTTGCGGAAGTTTAATAATTACACGCGTACGCGTACCGGGCAAGAGTAAATATATCTGCTGCTGTGAACTACTGTGAACCCTCTCCCACTATACTAGGAGGCACGTTCTCACGCGTTGCCATTCTTCGGAAACGAAAGGTAACATTATTTATCGACGTGGCGAAAATAATTGACGAACGAAGCGAAGGTTCGCACGATTTGAATCAAACAGGGAAGTGTCCTTCGATCAACAAATTAATCGCTGAGTCAATTAAACGAGAGTCGAGGAACTCGTTTGAAAACCACTAGGATTGATCGATTGATGACGTTTGTTGATTTAGCAAAAAAAGAAAAGTAAATAAATAATAAAAAATAAAATAAATAAATATAATAAATGAAAATAAATAAAAATAAATGGTAAATAAAAAAAAGAATAAAGCATGTGTTCAAGAAAAGATTGTTTGGAAAAAGTATAGAATTCACTGATAAGAAAGAAAGAAGAATACACAGTAATGCAAACGTTAAATCTTTTTTTTTTTTTTTTTTGGTTTTCTCGAATTTTAGGAATATATAACAGACTCCGTTTGTGTGTCAAAATGATTTTTTCGTGGCAATCGAAGGAAGCTTCTATGGTACCCCATAATCGGACAAAGGGCCTTGCACTCTATAAATAGTTACTCGGCCTTCTATTTCGAAAGACTTATTCTCAATGATTCCGTCACGCTCACGGTTTACTTTGAAAATGAAAAGAGATTATAAATATTCGTGCGTTAACCACTTGCGCTGGCAGCCGATTGCGGACCATAACGAGCGACCAAAACAGTAATTCGCCGCTTTCTTTTTGAACTCTTTCGGTACGACATCGCTGGATAGAAATTATTCAGAAGTGATAAATTTATTATTTGTTTCACTTAACGCTAGAACTACCAGAGTGGTCAAGATGATCAAATTATAATTTTCAATGGAAATTTTGTACATTTATAAAAGCGTATTTCTAGATACTCGAGTGATCTTTAATAAAATGTATTAACAGGCGTTTTTATTGTATTACTAATTTCTTCTCGCACCTTGCACTTTCATTTCTTTGCCACAAATATTATACTTTGATCATCTATTTCTACCAGAGTAGTCAAAATGTCCAATTTATAATTTTCTATAGAAATTTTGTACATTTATAAAAGCGTATTTTTCAATACTCGAGTGATCTTTAATAAAATGTATTAACAGACGTTTTTATTGTATTACTAATTTCTTCTTGCACCTTGCACTTTCATTTCTTTGCCACAAATATTATACTTTGATCGTCTATTTCTACCAGAGTTGTCAAAATGACCAATTTATAATTTTCTATGGAAATTTTGTACATTTATAAAAGCGTATTTTTCAATACTCGAGTGATCTTTAATAAAATGTATTAACAGACGTTTTTACTGTATTACTAATTTCTTCTCGCACCTTGCACTTTCATTTCTTTGCCACAAATATTATACTTTGGTCGTCAGTTCTATTTCTACCAGAGTAGTGAAAATGACCAATTTATAATTTTCTATGGAAATTTTGTACATTTATAAAAGCGTATTTTTCAATACTCGAGTGATCTTTAATAAAATGTATTAACAGACGTTTTTACTGTATTACTAATTTCTTCTCGCACCTTGCACTTTCATTTCTTTGCCACAAATATTATACTTTGGTCGTCGGTTCTAGTTCTAGCGTTAAATATACGTAAAACCGAGGAAATATTGCAATTTTTGGGAAAAAAAAAAAATTCTCGTCATTCCAGCGCAAGAGGATACGAAGTGAAAGTGGCCAGAAAACCGTGCCGTTTCCCCTCCTCCCCCTGCAGAGGAAGTCCCGAAAGCAGAACTGGATCTTTTCAAATAAACTCCACCCCACTCTCCTGCCGATGGTGGGCGGCCATCGTTTGCTATTGTTCGGTGGTTGAACGACCAGCGAGAACACAGAGGACGACGGGAACAAAGCGCTAGGAAAATAAATGGGATTCGCGAGAAAGAGAGAGGGAAAGAGAAAGCTCTCTCTCTCTCTCTCTCTCTCTCTGTCCCGACGTCCCGAAGTGAATAACAAGCTCGGTGACGAGAGGCGACATCGCGAGGAGATCTCCTCGAACCTGAATTGAAATAACAACCGCGCACGGTAGATGTGTCGTTTCGTCGTGTTAATTAAACTCTCCGAGCGAAGCGGCGGTGAAGTAACTATATAGGAGAGATCTAGATCTATAGAGAAGCCTGATGGCCAGATCAGAAAGGAGAGAAGAAGAAGAAGAAGAAGAAGAAGAAGAAGAAGAAAGGAAGAAGAGAGGAACGAATTGTTTTCAGTAGCAATGCGAGATATCGAGACCAACGAGAACTGAGAGAGAGAGAGAGAGAGAGAGAGAGAGAGAACATCCATCTTTTTTCGTGCATTGAAAAAAGAAAGAATTTAAGTTTCTTTGTTGTTGTTGTTGTTGCTTCTTTTTTCGAAAGAAAGTCTCGAGAACAGTGCAGCCATGTCTACAGCTGTCGAGTTTCAGACACGTTCGATACACGTTTGTTGAGGCACCGATTTATTTGAAGAAAATCGGTGAACAAAAAATTTCTGCGAAATTCAAAGCACGACTTTGATAATTGAGATCGAAAGCGTGCCTCGCTTTGTTTCGGCAATTGTACGCGATTCCAGAGCCTGTCTGATTTAATTAACAGATCAGCTACAACGACAGGGTCGATAAAATGTATGTCCAAGGTGTGTATGCTCTCGTTTGAACGTGTTGAAACTCGGTGGCTCGCGAGAGTATTCGAACAATTAGCTCGAAAGAATGTTTGCGTCGCTGTGCAGAAACATTTTGAAACTCCATCGACACCGTGAATGAGAAACAGCTGGTGAAAATTTCAATCGGAAAAGTATAACGTAAATTAACGAGCCATCTGAAACAGAACTGAATTCCTGAGAAATCAAACTCCTCTGAACGAGCGTTTTTCATTCGATCGACTCACTATCGAACCTCCCCGAGCACACATCGATCCGTATAAACAATTCGTGCAAAACTGTCCATGATTGGCCATGTTTGCTGCAGTTTGCACACACACAGTCACACGTTTCTGTTTCAAACGTCGCATAATCACACGCTCGCAGTGTCAATGAAATAAATACAATCGTGGTACAAACGACAAACAGTAAAAAACAGTTTCAGCAAAAGTAATTGTTCGAGCAGAGTTGTTTCTCGCAAACAGCTGCAAACAACAGCTGTCGTCGCGTTCAAACACGAGAAACAGAGATAGAGAGAGAGAGAGACAGAAGTATAGAAGGGAAAGACTTGTGCGAGAAAGTATATACGTAATATTTATATATATAAGTACTGCAGGTACACACATATAATAGAGTATAATTTCCATAAGTAAAAGTTTCAGATTCGTTCACATTCGTGTCGTACGTTCCCAAGCTGCGCACGGTTGCAAACGACATACATATATATATGTACAGAATCGCCGGGCGACTGCGGTAACCGCCAAGCGTCGGGTTTTATGACACGGCGTATACAAAACGACGGTACACGACAGATCAGAGACGCAGAGACGGGTAAAATACCGTTTCGAAGCAGCTTCTGTCTCAGTATGAGGGGCCTGTTTTCTTTATTAATCCCCTTTCATCCTGGCCAATTTCAGCCCGGATGCCCGTAAATCACTCGGACACTCGTTTCTTCAACGATGAATCGTTGATTTCTACCTCGAATATATAGAACGTGGACACCGTGGCGCTTGTGCGTCGTAGATTTGGCGTAGTTGATTAACGATGTTAATTCCGTGGAAACGGCAGAAATATTCTCTGATGACAAACGCGCCTATGTATGTAATATTCAATATGTTGGAAATTTGTCGGAGCGTACGCTAGCGTGAGCGTCCAGCGATTTACGGACAGCGATCATGTTGTTCGTCGCATTTCGATCATCGCTCGCCAGAGAGATTCGAAATAGTATTTTATTCACCTCTGGACATGATGGTGGCATGCTCTATGCTTGTTACACACTATGGGGACACATTTGTACACTCGTACCGTGAGATCAAGAACAAACAGAGAGATAAATATATACATATGCACGGTGACGTATGCATGTATATACATATATGGACACACGGATGCACGCCTATGCATATTATATATATACGTGATTTATATAGATTTAGAGATATATATATATATATGTATATGTATATAGATGTATGCATAGCACATTGTTTCTCTACTAGAGCTTACTAAATGCGTGATCGAACCGAGTACTCGTCCGAGAGTAACCTGCAACAGCGAAACAATAGCCTGTCACTGCCCCCTAAGGTCATGTACTTACGTTCTAATTTTCTAGCTTTCTTTTTTTCTTTTTTTCTTTTCTTTTTTCTTTTCGCTGACGAGACAGAGAGAGAGAGAGAGAGAGAGAGAGAGAGAAGTGTGTATGTGAGAGAGAGAGACAGAGAGAGAGAGAGAAAGTAAAATAAGATCGATCGAAATCGTTCCTCCTGTCTCCGCCAGGCTGGTATCGCTACTATTGAAAGACAGAGGTCAAAGAATTTGGTTAATCGATTATTAAGCTATACGTAAGAAATTTAACTGCGACTGAACGGAGGTTGATTCTTTTTTTTTTAGCTCGGTTTATTATAAGGCACGGACGGATCTCTCTTTCTTTTTTTGGATTTTTTATCACTCCGTAACGCGAGATATTTTATGGACGAGGAATACTTTTGTACAGAGTGGTGAGACAAGGCTGATCGAAGCCAATCAACATATCGAATACATCAAAATTATCAGATGTCGAATATTGTCGCTGGATGGTTGCGGAAATTTTTAGAAGATGTAATTTGAAAAGTGGATCTTTAGGAGATAGTTTTAATATATTTAATATTTAATATTTAATATTTAATATTTAATATTTAATATTTAATATTTAATATTTAACATTTAACATTTAATATTTAATACTAGAATTGCAGACGATCAAAGCATAAAATTTTTATCAGAGACGTTAAAATGAATGAAGCAGAAAATCTTTATAGTACAACAGGATACACAAACTTTTATTTATGTATTTTATGAAAGATCGTTCAAGTCTCCAAAAATATACTGTTTTATATCTATAAAATATTTAACAAAAATATTCAAATGGTCATTTTAACCATTTAGGTAGTTCTAGTGTTAATATTTAATATTTAATATTTAATATTTAATATCTAATATTTAATATTTAATATTTAATACTAGAATTGCCGACAATCAAAGGCATAAAATTTTCATCAGAGACATTAAAATAAATGAAACAGAAAATCTTTATAGTACAACAAGATACACAAACTTTTGTCTATGTATTTTATGAAGGATCGTTCAAGTCTCCAAAAATATACTGTTTTATATCTATAAAATATTTAACAAAAATATTCAAATAGTCATTTTGACCATTTTGGTAGTTCCAGTGTTAATATTTAATATTGAATATTTAATATTTAATGAATATTGAATATTTAATATTTAATGTTTAATATTTAATATTTAATTAAATATTTTGGACTTGTGTTTCCTCTAAATTTTCTAATCAAATTAAATTTGACCTGCGTGATACCATGCTTATCACTTATCGTTTGAAAACGAAAGTATCAAACATTATTCTCACCTACTGTGAATAATTGAATAATTTTGAAACAACCATCGTGATAAATATCGTTCCAACAAATGTTTAGAACAACTTGTTACGAATAATCAAGTGTAACATCAGATACGAACTTTATTTACTCGGGATAAATAATGAAAATAGTAATTTGTAAGTCAAACGAAAGCAGCACGCATCCTCGAACGAATCAATTTAAGAAGAAAATTACGAATACCAACAAACTCTGGCTTCCTCTGCCATTTATATTTCAGTCGTTCGAGGTTTAACGATACAATTGAATAATAATTGTTCGTTGGTTGTAGCAATTTTGTCGAAACACAATTTATCACAGTGATTACTTTCAAAATTATCCAGACACTGGTGAAGATAACAAAATTTGACACTTCCAAATTATTTCAAATGCAATAATAATTCTAGCAAATGAATCTGACTGTCTCTGAAATCAACGAGAATGCACAAGAAGAAAATTTCTTCAATGTCTAACAAACTACGACGAATCGCCTGTTTTCTTACTTTATTTCTATTTATTATTCTATTTATTTTCTCAAGTGTAGAATCGCGTTATTTTCGCCGTCATGTTCAATAATTTTTTGAGATAATTGCTCTTGCTTCACAGGATGATAGATCTTGTTAAACAGCGCGCAACTTCTTCCCAACCTAACTTACAACAGAGATATTACCTGACCCAGTTGCTAGAATCACCCTGTATCAGCCTTATTATTGTGAAGTTTTCGGCGGAATCTACATACTTTTTAAACGTAATTCTCTTCTAGAATTTCGCCAATGTTTCGCTTCATTATGGGCAAATGCAATATTTCCATAATAAGGGGGATGGCTGTCGTAAATTGTAGTCGAGGCCGTGCGTATGCACGTGAAAGCCAATCCTCTGCACATAAATCCTGTCGCTCGTTATTAATTGCAAAATACAGAGAGAGAAAGTTTTACGAATTTTTAGAATTTCTATTTCGAGAATTTATATTTATTCATTTATTTAGAATTTTATTATATTTATTTTATTATATTTATTTAGAATTTTATTGTATTTATTTTATTATATTTATTATATTTATTTTATTATATTTATTATATTTATTATATTTATTTTATTATATTTATTATATTTATTATATTTATTTTATTATATTTATTATATTTATTTAGAATTTTTTTATTTAGAATTTTACTCTCGCGAAAGGATCAAACAAGAGAAGACATTCTCGCGCCATAAAAAGATTCGTCCGAAGAATAGTTTCATTCAGAAATATCGAAATGAGCGTAATTTTTGGTAAAATCGAGCAAAAGTTGCACTACGAGTAAGTATGTGCTTGGCATTTTTATTCTTTCAGATATATATTATACTTCACACCGAAATATGTTGGAATACACTTTATATTCGTTGAGTGTTTCTACTTTCGAAATTCGTCGCCGAAGTATTACATCGACCGTGAAATTTTTCTAAAAAAAATGATTATTTCACCTACAAATATAAAGAAGCTTTCGACAAGGTTCTATTAACAATTATTGCTTCCACGAATGGCAATTACTCGCAGCGTCTTCCCTTTGGAAGGACATAAACGTTCCTTAAAGTTGCGCCAGCGTAGAAATTGTTCTTTTTCACCAATTAACTCAAAAGTACGAAAAAGATTTAACAAAGTGGTGTTTCTGGCGTTGAGCAATTAAATGTAGCAATTGAACAGAAGGAAAAGAATCGTCAACGCGGCCTTTTCTCTCGTTTAATCGATTTTTGAAAGGTTACAAATTTACACACTGTTGATTTTTAAATTAATATTAAATTGATATTAAATTAATAAAAATTAATATTAAATTAATATTAACTTCTAAAATGTTATAAATTTACACACTATTATCTTTTAAATTAATATTAAATTAATATTAAATTTTAAAAGGTTGTAAATTTACACACTATTAACTTTTAAATTAATATTTAATTAATATTTAATTAATAAAAATTAATATGAAATTAACTTTTGAGAGTTTATAAATTTACACACTATTAACTTTTAAATTAATATTAAATTAATATTAACTTCTAAAAGGTTATAAATTTACACACTATTAAATTTTAAAAGGTTATAAATTTACACACTATTAAGTTTTAAAAGGTTATAAATTTACACACTATTAACTTTTAAATTAATATTAAATTAATATTAAATTTTAAAAAATTATAAATTTACACACTATTAACTTTTAAATTAATATTAAATTACTATTAAATTTAAAAAAATTATAAAATTACACACTATTAACTTTTAAATTAATATCAAATTAATATTAAATTTTAAAAGTTTACAAATTTACACACTATTAACTTTGAAATTAATTAAATTAATATTAATTTAATAATATTAATTAAATTAATATTATTAAATTAATATTAACTTTTAGAAGTTTATAAATTTACACACTATTAACTTTTAAATTAATATTAACTTAATATTAAATTAATAAAAATTAACATTAAATCAATATTAACTTCCGAAAGGTTACAAATTTACATACCAAAAACTTTCCAAATTTCTAATGGGGATTCTGTCTCATAAAGGTCACATGGTATACAAAAATGATATTATAGTATGCAAAACCGCGTTATGGCTGTGGATGGAAAAATTTTTGAAAAGTCCTGCAGCCTTGCCTTCGTTCACCACCCTGCACGAGGGTGCCGTTCTAACGAAAAAAAAAACAAAAAAAAAACAAAAAAAAGAAAAACGGGCGGGAGGAAGGGGGAGAAACGCCTCGATATAAAAACCGTTTAAAACGCGCGAAAGCGGTTATGAAACATTTAACTGTAACCTCGACGAGCGCTGAACATCTGAGCCGCGTGTGTTGAGGTCCGTTTTAAATGGTTTGCGCGTTCATTAGCGATTCCCCCTGTTTCTCGTCACAGCGGCCGGGCACATTCGCGTATCTACGAAATAAATGAATCCGAGCTTTTATGGCTCGGGGACATGCACACCGAGATATACACACGTGCACGTGCACGTGCGTATAGCACGAAAGCCGAAAATTTCGCTCTCTTTCGATCGGAAAATTCACTCCAGCCGAATATTCTCTCGCAAGAGGTGGATTTTTAACGAGTACCCTCTTTTGTTTCTGTTTCTTCTTTTTTTTTTTTTTTTAAACTATGTGATTCACGTTGAGAGAAATATAGACGGGCAGATATACAGAGAAGAAGATGAAGAAGAAGAAGGGAGGATAATAAAAGAAGAAGAATGAAGAGTGTAACCTGTAAGAAAAAAATTTAACGAGTACCCTTTTTTTTTTTTTCTTTTTCTAAACTACGTGATTCATGTATCCGGAGAAAATCGATCTACGAATGAGAAGTATAGACGGGGAGATAAACAGAGAAGAAGATGAAGAAGAAGAATGAAGTGTGTAACGTGTGAGAGAAACGGTCCATAAAGTCTCTTTGCAATTTGAAAAATTTATTACAAATTGACATGAAGAGACAGATGAGTGAAAATTATTACAAAATGAGACGTGTATGTTGAAGTTTTTTTCTTGCCTCGTTTAATACGATTTTATATAGGCATTAGTTGCACGAAGCACGTTAAGACGGTACTCGATCTCTAGATTATATTTAACTATACTGTTGAATGCACGTTGTGTTATAATAAGTTAAATTATTCTCACTAAACGACAGTGTTCATTAAATTTAGAAAAAAAAATGACATTGCTATATAATTGCCCGTTTTTGAATTAATTTCGAAATTGGACCAGTATTAACACAACACAAGTTAACTATATACGTTAATACATTTACAGAATATGTATGTGTCACTGCACAGTGTTAAATTCCCATTTTGAGAAAGAGAGGAAAAGAGAGAGAAAACGTTGGCAGTGGAGAATAAATATTATTGTTCAATAAATTTCATTACACAAAATATAACATTTATATTTATATAATAATATTATATAAAATTTTGTATTAATTTTAAAAAAAGGATCTAGGACAAACGAATAAATTTATTTGCACAATATTTATTAAATTATTTTTTAAACTGTGATTCTAGTATTAATTATCAGGTGAAACTAATCAACGACTGGATATCGATGCAAGATCGTATGAATGAGCGTGGAGGAGAATGAATATGGATGGATGAAACGTGTCTGACAACGAAGATGCAACGCGGAAGCAGCGGCGAGAATCTCTGAAATTAGGGCACAGACGACCGGTCACGAGAATTACGCGCGACGCTTTTTAAAGGCCGCGGAAACGAAACAAGGTCGAAGAAAAATATTCGCCGACTGACTCACGTTCGCCGATTGCCTTCCACCTCCGAGCGAAAAAGTTCTTCAAACTAGTGTTTTTTTGGAAAGCGAGAGTCGACGGGGAAGGAAAATCAACAAGATTCCCGTCTGCGAGACTTTTATACCGCGATGCAAATTATTTAGACGCGTCACGTGAAACGTGTTTGCAAACTATAAAGTTAGTTTGCAATGGTAAAAATTATATTTCGAAATCTTGAACAATCACAGACACTCGGAGGTATAAATAGATTGAGAGAGAGATATTGTTGAGATTTTTTTGAAAATTAAAAACTTCTTTTTTTAATAATTACAATATGTCTGTATGTATAACAAATTTTGTAACTTTAATAACAATCTTTAAAAAAAATTACTATGTTATCTCAATTTTTGTGAATTTAATTGTAAAAATTATAAAAATTATATCACGTTGCCTTAAATTTTATAAATTTAATTGTGAAAATTATAAAAATTATTATGTTATCAAAAATTTTATAAACTTAATTATAAACTATAAAAAAATTATTATATCACTTTTATAAATTTAATGATAATCTTCAAAAAAATCAATAGATTATAAAATTTTCTCTATTATTAATTAACAGTAAAATCACAATTTAAAAAATAAGACACATTTAAAAAATAAATTAAAATATTATGTAAATAAATTTATAGTTTATTCCATAATTCTTTTACATGATAAAACAAATTAAACAATAATATTTACACAAGTTAAATTTATTTAAAAAGAAAAACTAGATATTAGTAAATACGATAACGTGGAAATTTTATAAATTTAATAATAATCTTTGAAACAACTAATAATTATAAAATTTTCTCTATTATTAATTAAAATCACAGTTTAAAAAGTAAAATTACAGTATTGTATAGTTTATCCCACAAATTTTTTATATAATAAAATTAATTAAACAATAATATTTATACAAGTTAAATTTAATTAAAAAGAGAAACTAGATATCAATAAACACGACAACGTGGAAATTTTATAAATTTAATAATAATCTTTGAAAAAACTAATAAATTACAAAATTTCCTTTATTAATTAAAATCACAGTTTAAAAAGTAAAATTACAGTATTGTATAGTTTATCCCACAAATTTTTTATATAATAAAATTAATTAAACAATAATATTTATACAAGTTAAATTTAATTAAAAAGAGAAACTAGATATCAATAAACACGACAACGTGGAAATTTTATAAATTTAATAATAATCTTTGAAAAAACTAATAAATTACAAAACTTCCTCTATTATTAATTAAAGTCACAGTTTAGAAAATAAAATTACAATATTATATAGTTTATCCCACAAATCTTTTATATTATAAAATTAGTTGAACAATAATACTGTTTTATATAATAAAATTAATTTTATGTAATAAAATTAATTGAACAATAATAATATTTACACAAGTTAAATTTATTTAAAAAGAGAAACCAGATATCAATAAACACGGCAACGCGGAAATTTGAAGTACATCGCAGGAGCGTCGGCAGAGGTTTCGAAACTCGCGGATCTCGCGGCGAGTTTCAAAATCGAAAGTTCTGAAGCCGCGCTTCTCGCTTTCTCGAGAATGAAGTTCGCGCGCGAGGCCCGAGAATGGAGAAACTGCAGCACAAAGGCCAAGAAGAGGAAAAGAAGAAGGAAGAAAAAAAAAGAAAAGAAAGAACGCAAGGAAAGAGGCGAGCAATTCGAAATGCGCGTGTGCGCTCGATCGATGTGCGAGTTAATACTTGGCCGTGTGTTGCACCATCTTCTGGAAATAGAGTACCGCCCGGCGTTTATCTCAAAAACGCAGTGCAGCCTAGCGTGTTAACGTAGACCCTGTCGGCGATTACGTTGCGGGGAAGCGAGAAACAGTGGATGAAAGAGAAAGAGAGACAGAGAAGCGAGAATGGTATAAGTGAGACAAAGACGAGACGCGAAGAGAGGAGATAGAGAAGAAAATGCGGAATCGATGCGAGTTTAAGCGTACAATAATAAACGTGCCAGATCGAACCTCTGATCGTCGCTATGTATATGTGTGTGTGTATATATATATATATATATACGTAGAGAGAAAAACCAATAAATGAACCGAATGAACGATGACAGAAGACGTGTGCTCGTATATGTGTATGTATGTGTATGTGTGTGTGTGTGTGTGTGTGTGTGTGTGTGTGGGACTTACTCGGGATATTTGACGTTTGGTAGAGCCTTCAGGAAGCAACGTTGACGCAGGATGCCCTCCCACAGTTGGACGCCGACGATGCCGAATATAAAGAAGACGAAGAAGCACAGCAGCAGCACGTTGCCCAGCATGGGCAGAGTGTCGAGCAAAAGCATCACCAGTATCCGCATACCTGTTGAGAATGAAACAAAAAATACAGGGAAAAGTAAAAGAGAAAGGTCGCAATGTTTTGAGTCTTGTTTCTTTTTTTTTTTTTTTTTGGGGGGGGGAAGGGAAAGAATCCCCAGGGTTGCGCCGCAATGGCGCTTTCAGCCAGAGGGGGAGAGAAGGGTTGGATAAATAAAGGATCTTTCTTGTTGACTGTTGCTCGCGAAAGTATTTGAACACTTGTCTAAATTTGCCTCGAATGCACTGTACTTTTATGTACGTGCTATACGAAACATTTTGAAAATTCATTATGTAACGAGGGATGAGTATACTATGGTAAAATTTGGACTAGGTTACACATTTATATATTATATAATTAAAATTATAATGAAATTATAATTTTGTATGTGTATATGTATATAATTTAATTGTTTAATTTAATAATTCTTTTTATTTAACTATTTTATTTAATTTGACTAGTTTATATAATTAAAAATATATTAATATTATATAATTACGTAATATTGTTATTATGTAATTATATTAATATTATATAATTAAAATTATAGTAAAATTATATTATATTATATAATATTATTAATATGTAATTATATTAATATTATATAATTAAAATTATAATAAAATTATATTATATTATGTAATATTATTATGTATCTATATTAATATCATATAATTAAAATTATAGTAAAATTATATTATATTATATTATATTATTATGTAATTATATTAATATTATATAATCAAAATCATAGTAAAATCATATTATATTATATGTATATATGTATGTATGTAAAAGTTTAGTTTTGTGAGATTATTAATTTATAACACTTTTAAGCCTAATAAATATTAATATATATAAATATAAATCATATAAATATATAATAACATATATAAATATTAACACTTAAGCAAAATAAATATTAATAACAGTTCTGGTGAACATTCGTGTTTATTAATACAATCAACCACAGATGTGTTTAAATATCTATACATAAATATTGCGACAAGTGTCTTGTAACTTTTATAAAACAACGAAACACGATCGTTGCAACTGCACTGATCATGTGAAATTTCCAACCACTCTAGAAATTTATAAATCATATACATTGTACGTACAATGTAAAAATTTATTTTGAAATTCGTCGTATCATATCGTCAGCGTGACAATTTCAAAGTGCTTTATACAATACATACAGCATATACATTTTTCGGGTCTGTTTCAAATTTTAGAATGCATGAAAATTCTGTGACAAACAGCCAAATACTCTACGCGAGCCGGTAAAAATCGCTGGACCGAAAGATAATGTCATCCGGATGCCATCGAAATAACAGAAATAACAGATTCTAAAATATATCGTTATAGATAGAACGCTCTGAATATAGCGTATCGCGATTCCTAAATCGAGACGCTCGTTATTCGTTCGTACAGATCGATGCGGAAATAAATCTGGTTTCAAGCTGATTGATGGCGAGGTTTATATCTGAATTATATCTACAGATCTACGTCCCGGGTGTAATTGTCACGAGCTGAGAAAAATATATAAATTCGACCTCGGTTCTTCCTCAGCGACCCGATTTTATTTAAAGAAGCCCGCAACAGCGAAGAATATCGAAGGGAAAAAGAATGAGCGTCTCTCGAAGTTCCATATTTATTCGTGGTAGATTTTCTTTACAGCTTGTTATTTGCAATAATCCATGAACGATTGATTAATTGACACTCAAACACTTACATAGGAATTTCTCATGAATATATTATGTACTTGTATGTTGCGTGAAACATCATTGAAATTTGATCAACATTACACTGTGATTCGATTATCGTAATTACACTGGTCTAGTTTCGAGCAATTAAAATAAATAAAATTGTTAGATATTATTAAAATATTTTGCAAAAAATTCGAAATAACACAGTGTAGTAATAATATAAAATAACATAATATAATATAAATATATAACGACTATATAATATAATATACAATTATATATAATATAATATAATATAATACATATAATATATAATATAATATATAATATAATATATAATATATAATATAATATAAATGTATAAATATATAAAATATATATATATATATTGTATAAAATGATATAAATATAATATAAAAATATTATATAAAGTAATATAAATAATAATATAATATAAAAAATTCAAAATAATACAGTATAGTAATAATATACTGTAAATATAGTAATAATATAATAATAATATAATGTGTACTTGGTGCATATAATTTACATATTTCTAGATTGGTTGGACAATCGTTATCTCCCCATTTAATAATTTAATAAAATATTATGTTTAATTAAATATTACAATATTAGTATATAATTTAATAATAATTCAAAAATGTTTAATATTTATTAAAAGTAATAATAATATTCAATATTGTGTATTTCACAGAGATCACAAAAATATTTCAACAACCACAAGCCATTGTATCATATTTAACGTCCATTATCTGTTCAATACGATTTTTCATTCTGCATACTAATTTTTTATAAAATATTTTACATATATTTTCAAGTTGATTTCAAATTACGTAATCGCGATATTTCATAAATACTTCATATTTAATTAATATAATTACGATAGTCGTCTCTTATTTACGAAATTAATGGAATTATATATTAATGGAATTTCACAACGTTTTCTATAATAAGTATTCGAAACTTTTAATACTGTAACCGCAAGGATTCACGTACGAAATCGAAATTTTCCCAAGGCGAGAGAAACAAATGGAACAATTGGAAATTATCGCGATAAATTCTCCCTCCGATCCAAACGATTGTAATCTTAAAATTAACTAACTGTTAGAGGAGGATCGTTTCATCCTCAAACAAAGAAATTCCATAGATGCACGCCTCCTATATACACGAATAAAACGCGAGCGCACGCGTTGTTTGCACAGGTGATTTGAAGTTTCATAAATTACGACGGTAACGACTACGGGCTAACGCTTATGCACTGCCTGGAGAAATTCCCCGATCCATCCTGTAAAACTCAAATCGGATTGGCAACGAACGCTTGAAACTCGCCGTCGTAACGATAAACAGAAAGGGCGAGATTTTCGTCAGCGTTAAGAACCAATTTGCATTCGGCTGCACACGCTCCCAACGAAAGTCAAGCGAAGCTTCGGTGGATAAAAAAAAAAGACTTTATTTGTTCTTCGCCGTTCCACTTATTTTCGAAGAACCGCCGCCACCCCTTTGTTTCGCCCAGCGAAATTCCGACACCGACATAACAACGGGGGGAAAAAAAAAAAAAAAAGAAAAGGAAACCGCACGAAAATTCACTCGGCTCGCTTTTCGTTCGAGATTCTGCTTTAAAAATCGAGGCAAACAAATCTCACGGATATTGATCACCTTCGCTTTGGATAAGTATACTTGTGCAATTTATATGTACGTAGGTATATGATATATTGTACATATATATTATATATTATATTTATGTACTATAAAATATACTTATATTTATTATATTTATAATATAATATATGTTCTAAATATTACATTTATATTACATTTATATTATAATTTACATTTGTATTATATTATATATATTATATTTATTATATTTATATTATATTTATATATTATAATTTACATTTATATTATATTATATATATTATATTTATTATGTTTATATTATATTTATATATTATATATTACATTTATTATATTTATATTATATTTATATATATTTATATTACAGTCATGTTATATTTATATATTTTATATTATATTTATATTTATATATTTTATATTACATTCATGTTATATTTATGTATTTTATATTACACTCATATTATATTTATATATTTTATATTACATTCATATTATATTTATATATTTTATATTACATATTATATATATCATATATATGTACAGAAATAATTTACTGGCCAAAGTAGAAAAGTCAGCGATTCTTAATACACTGCACAAGGCTGGATGTACTTTTATACACAACACATACTCACTTGGAATTCTGTTGATGGCACGTAGGGGTCTCAGGACTCTTATCGTCCTTATCGCCGATAAATTCATGTTCTCCACGTTCAAACAATATTCCAAAGCGCTGGAACAGAAGTCGAACAGTCGTTTTTATTTTTTTTTTCTTTGATCGAAATGTACAAATATTTAATCTTTCGCGTCGAAATATCGCTTTTCTTTTTTTGTTTTTTTTTTTTTGGAAACTACGTTTCGTTTGGTAAGCTTTCGTGGACTTTGCCGAGTAATAAAAATAAAAAAAGAACGTTTTTGATTGAAAGTGTGCGTTTGTCAATAAAAAGCGACGTGTCGAATCGCGCAATGAAAATGAAATCCAAATGGAAACATTTCGGGCAATCGAAAACAACCGTGAATAATCTGAAAGAGGAGAACGATGCGTAATTGTTATAAAAGTCGAATTCGTAAGAAAACGAATCACGTGGAGATAGAAATTTCGCCGAAAAGCGAAATCCCTGTAAGGAGATTTGGAATTAGACGCGTGTTCGTTCATCCAAGTTTCGCGTTGAGATTAAATTCGATCGCTCGATGCTGTTCAATCCTCGTTGTCATACTTGCACAACCGCGGCATGAAATAAAAAATGAAAATTAAATACATACACAAATAAATAAAATAACTTGAATAAATAAAATGTGCAAGTAGATCAAATGTACAGTATAATATACAAACGATATATTTATTTTGTATATTACAATATATTTAATATATTGATTTTAACGTATATCGTTTATATTTATTTTGCATATTACAATATAGTATAATGTACGGAATAAACAAACGACTGATTAAATGAATAAATAAATAAAAATTGAAACTAACGAAATCGAATAAATAGACAGATGAAACGAATGAGATAAGAAAATGGACAATCAATAAAAATACCCCAATATACGTACGTAAAAAAATTAATAAATCGATTAAGATAGAAATAAACAAAATAGTCTTCGTCGTCATACTGTCAGTTCGGAATAAATTTATTTATACAAATACGTTTCGTTATTCAACGGGATGTCACATTTTCGTGAGTGAAAATCGGCTGAATTTTGAACCCCTTGCGCTGGCAGCTGATTGCGGACCATAACGAGCGACCGAAACCGTACACAAGAATTCGTCGCTTCCTCTTCCTCTTGAACTCGCCGGTAATTATTGAGAAGTAATAAACTTATCATCTTTTGTTTCGCCTTGAATTACATTTAACATACTTAAATTAAATGTAATTAAATATATAATAAAAATTAAATATTAATGATAAAATTAAATATAATTAAAATATATAACATAAATTGCAATATTAATGACAAAATTAAATATAATTAAAATATATAATATAATTGAATATTAATAATGAAATTAAATATATAATATAATTAAATATAATTGATTATACTTAAAACTGAGGAAATGTGGCACGTCGTTCCAACGCAAGAGGTTAAAAATGACAAAGACACGAACGTTATTCGATTTAAAACATTCGGAAGGGAAAGGAGAGACAATCTCTTCGAGCTGCATTTTTTGTTTTGTTTTTTTTCAATTATGAAACAGAATGAACACGCCTAAACACGATTGGCTCGCGTGAAACTGAATGACGAGTTTTTCGGCCGGGGTTTATCAATTTTACGAGTGAAGCCTGTACGATTAACTTCGCCCCCCCCCCCCTCCTCGGCTACGCGACGTCGTTCAATCCGCGGAAACTTTATTTCACGGGGAACTAGCCGGCAAGTACGTTCCTGCCTGCCCGTAGGAAGGCTTTCAGCCAACCGTGGAATTACTGGGAAACTTTCGTCCAACCTTTCACGACTGTGCCCGAACTACCACCGAAAATAAAAATTACTCGAAAATAACCTCGTCCTCCTCTATTCATTTCTTCTTCAGTCCAAGAATTTGCAGCCGATGCTGCATTATCCTCGTCCCTCCTTTCTCGTGCAACGCCGTACTTTCCTATTCACGTTTACCTCAATTATTCCCACGGACGCGAGAAAGTTGCGAAAGTCGGCCCAGTCGATTCAGAAGAGCCACTATATTTGTGTCGATTTACGACACTCGATTCACACACACAGATTCTTAGGTAATTGTCTACCGATTTTTCTTCGTAGTCTGTCGTGTCTAGCTGTTTCTTGAAAGATGCTAATCGAGGCTAAAGGCTTTATGGGTCTTGACGCATATTTTATTATTATTAGTCATAACTAAAGGTGGCAGAGTATTATATTTATATTATATTTATATAAAATATATAAATATAATATAAATATATTTAAATATATTTATATTATGTTTATGTGAAATATATAAATATAATACACTGCCACATTTAGTTAAGACTAATAATAATGAAATATGTGTCAAGATATTTAAATATATTTATATTATATTTATGTGAAATATATAAATATAATACTCTGCCACCTTTAGTTAAGACTAATAATAATAAAATATGTGTCAAGATATTTAAATATATTTATGTTACATTTATATGAAATATATAAATATAATATAAATATATTTAAATATATTTATATTATATTTATATACAATATATAAATATAATAATTTCTATGTGATTTCTATGATTTCTCGTGCAAACAGCAATTTGCATTTGAAAGATGTTTGTGATCAATTATTTTTAGAAGATGTCACTTTTCAAAAGATATTCGAGAGAGATGTTTATAATTAATTGCAAGATATTTGAAAAATATTTATGTTAATTACAGCTCGAAAGATATTTATGTTAATTATGCAGTTAGTCACATGTAAGATTTAATTCGCATTCAAATTCTATGTTGTTACATGTATGTGTATTCTATGTAACCATTATAAATATTATACTTATACATTATTATTATACGTATGTGTTACTATTACAAATATTGCACTTATGTATTATTATTATATTATTATTATACATATAAATTTACGTATAAATTATGTATTATTAATATTATACGTATAATTAATATTCTGTGTTACTATTATAAATATTATTACACGATTAATATACCAAATATATAGTAACTCGTGTAGCTCAACTAAAATAACAACAATTATTATAAACTGTTGCTCAAAATTGCACGGCGTGATTATTTATTAATGACAATAAATAATTAATAGTAATCAGTTGTTAGAAATTAATTAGAAAATGGTGTAATTATAGTAAATAATTAATAATAATCAGTTGTTAGAAATTATATTAATTATACTAATTTCAGTAATGAGGAAATTAACATCTGGGTCATTTTTAACTGGTTCACTGGTCCGACTATTAAAATAAGATTTCTACTGTTAGAACTGAATTTCTGTTGATAGATTTAATCGAACTTCTGAACTGATTGAATTCACTTATCTAGATGTCTACGTCCACTTATATTAATTGAATGAGAAATCGTAGACTGTGAACTGAATCAATGAATTATTACATTAACTCCAATTATACGTATAACTGTCTTCCAATGGGTTCGAAGATAAACGGAATTTTACTGCGCGATGTCCGTTCAGGCACGAAATGATTCTACTTGCCTGTATCTTCTAATAGCGACGATCTTCTAAAACTCAACGACATGAACTCTAGCTAGTAAATGTATTTTCGTTGATTTCGAATGTTTATCAATTTTGTAAATTAGAAAGAACAGTTAATAAAGAAAGAAAATTATGCCACGTTTTAAAAGCTTTGAAAAGCTGTAACAAACCGACAGAAAATAAGTCACGAAAGCTAAAATAAATTATTCCCAGTGCATATCTGTCTGTGTTTTGGGAATTTAAAAGATACGCAGAGCCATTTCGCGTTTAAATAAATAAATGTGTATAATAACTATATCGTGCTGTACTATAAAAAAAAAATACAATAGATAAAGTAAATTTAAATAAATATAGATACAAAATGCAATCTATGTAATAAAATAAATATAAATAAATGTAGATATAAAATATAATATAGAATGATACATGATATATGAAATAATTAAATATATATATAATATAATATATATAATAAAATAAATATAAATAAATGTAGATATAAAATATAATATAGAATAAAACATGATATATGAAATAAATAAATATATATATAATATAATATAATATATATAATAAAATAAATATAAATAAATGTAGATATAAAATATAACATAAAATAAAATATGATATATGAAACAAATAAATATATATATATAATATAATATATATAATAAGTAAATAAATATAGATATAAAATATAATATATAAAATAAATAAATATAATTAAATATAGATATAAAATATAATATATGAAATAAATAAATATAAATAAATATAGATATAAAATATATTAAATTATGATATTTATCATATTTATTAATCATAACGTTTAACGAGTGGAACAAATCTCTGTTAAGACTATAATGTAACACATAAAATTGCATAAATGTCCGCGGTTCAGTCGAACAGCGAATAATATTTTTCTACACGACCGTGATGGTATACTGAAAATTCTATCGTTTAAGGGAACAAAAAAACGCACTCACCCAGCCGCAACTATAAAGAAGTCCAATCTATTCCAGGAGTCGGCGAGGTACGTCCCTTTGCCGTAAATGCCCATCGCGACCATTTTGATTGTCATCTCCAGGGAGAAGAAGGCGAAAATGATGTCGTCGAACATCTGTAACCCGGAAAAGGGGACGGCTTAGACCGATTAGACGAGAACACGCTTAATCCGATCGGGGGTAATTGATCAAGGGCACTAGAGCAGCAAGTTCCATTAGGCCAGTTCGAACCCACCAATTGCTGCTCAATCGTGTTTGCTTCCCTTTTCTGTTCGCGAACGTGTAAAACCGATGATGAAAAGCGGGACAAACAGTCCCGCAATTAATCAATCTTCCCTTTGCCACACGACTTTCACACGCGCTTCGACATATTTCTTTTTCTTCTTTTGTCTTTTTTTTTTTTTTTTTTTTTTTTTTAAGTTGAAGAAAAACGTTTTCTTCCTCTGTGTCTTTTTTCGGTTTTCTACTCGATGCTTCTAAGAGGATCCGAGGGGAAGTCGTTCGATTGACAGTAATTTTTTTAATAAAACTCGAGCCAATTGTGCCTTTTGTGTTTCTTTAGTATTGATATTGTATCATTTTTGTATAATATTAGTACTAAAAATTTTATGTCATTATGTTCTTGTGATGTTATATATAAAATTTTATATTGTTACATTATTTCAATTAATATTATATTCTTTTTATAAATTTAATATATTAGTAATGTATTAATATAATATGTATTTAGTATTAATATAATGACTCTTATCTGAATTTCATTTGCAATTTTCTTCACACAATCATCGATATTTTAGTCTTTTGATACTATAGATACTAATAATGTTTGATGTTTGATAATATGTAAATACTATAATATACTATAAATACTATAGAAACTAATGATAACGTAATTTGATACTACAGAAACTTATGACAACGTTTATTAATACCAGGACTATATAAATAATGTAAGTGTCGACGAGTTCCAAGGATTCGTTTAGTATCTTTTCATCTTTACGTTTTACGATTGAGATCTACAATTTCTTTTTGAAATGTTGTTCGTTGATTTTTGGAAACTGCGTCCAATTTTTTTAAATTAAATACTAATACTAATATTCAATTATTAATACTTAAATATTTATTCATTAATATCTATTAATTATTAGTATTTATTTATTACTTTAAATTAAATACCAATATTTAATTATTAGTAATAATTAAATACTAATGCTTCAATTGAATACTAATTTTTTAAATTAAATACTAATATTTAATTACTGGTATTTAATTAAATACTAATACTCTAACTAAATACTCATCTTTTAAATTAAATACTAATACCAATATTTAATTATTAGTATTTAGTAAATATTTATTTACGAATATCTATTAATCATTAGCATTTATTAGTATTTATTTATTATTTAACTACATACTAATACTAATATTTATTTACTAGTGATATTAACACTAATATTTAATTATTAGTATTTAATTAAATACTAATACTCTGATTGAATACTAAGTTTTTAAATTAAATACTAATATTAATATTCAATTGTTAGTATTTAATTAAATACTAATACTCTAACTAGAAACTAATCTTTTAAATTAAATACTAATACAAATATTTAATTATTAGTATTCAGTAAATATTTATTTACGAGTATCTATTAATTATTAGTATTTATTACATTAAATTAAATACTAATACTAATATTTATTTATTAGTGATATCAATACCAATATTTAATTATTAATTAAATTAAAATAAATACTAATACTCTGATTGAATGCTAATTTTTTAAATTAAACTGATTAACTAATACTGATATTTAATTACTGGTATTTAATTAAACGCCAGTACTTTAATTGAATGCCAATTTTTTAAAACACTAATATTCCGTGGCGAGGGAAATTCATCTGCGCGTCTCTTTCATTCGCGTGTAACGTCAAATATCCCCGCGAAACAGCGAAACAATTTTCTCGTAACGCGAATCTCTACAGTGTCGCTGAATCTCCGCGCGACTCTTTATGCAAATTGGCGTCTACTGACAACTGGAAGCGCGCAGATGTCGCAGCTGGCCCGAAAACGGGGAGTTAAAAAAAAAAAAAAGAAAAAAGAAAAACAGGTTAATAACTTCGTAAATTCTATACGCATATTCTGTACGGGCTAGTAATTAAGTCGTATCACTAATTAAAATTATTCAGCGTAGTCGGTCGCGCTCGGTAACATAAAAAGAACGAGTGGGAGGGAGAGAAAGAGGCTGCCATCGCGGAAACCGCAGTTGAAAGCGCAGCAACCTATAAATCGTGACGCACGGAATTGTAATTGCGACTTTTTCATTTTTCTTTCTTTTTTCTTTTTTTTTTTTTTTTCTTTTTGTTGCCAAGGTAAATCTGAACTTAACACGGCGACAAATATGAATCTCTCTCTCTCTCTCTCTTTTTCTTTCTGGGCTTTTCTTTCTTTCAATTAATTAGTGATTAGGGTAAACGAGAGAACCGATTGAATTCTGACAGCTTGTTGCGGAAAATATAAATGTCGAGAAAATATAAATTTCATTCGTCTGAGAATTCTCGAGTTATTATTAATTAATTTATTTGATATTGCATTCAATGAAGAAGCATCGTTGGTAATATTAAATATATATTCTGGAATTTTGGAATTGAAATCACGGTCCTTTCATTGGGAATTGCAACAATCTCGAGTTGAATTTATTTTAGAAGTTCTCGACTTTGGTGTTAGCTGAGAATGCAAAGTATGAATGAAATTGACATATTCGTGGATCAATTTCTTTCGCAAGTTCAATTCTTTTCTTTTCACGTATTTACAACAATTTACTCCTTGAATACGAATATTCGTACAATGATATAATGATAGTTGCAAAGAATGTCTGACAATTTCGAAAGATTAAATACCCTAAATGCTACAATACTGTTTGAGAGTTAAAATTAAAATTATTTATCACGTTCGTTGTCAATGATTTTCGTATGAATCCGATTATTTATGTATTACAATAAACGTTCGAACGTACAGTATACTCTTTGGTAAATATTAATTTACAAATATTATGTAAATATTAATAATGTAATAATATTAAATATTAACAATATTATAAATATTAATTTTCATATCAGAAAAGGGAAGCAACACTTTCAAGTAGGTTAGTGGATTCAACACACGTTAAGTGTAGGTAAATCTCCTGTACGTGTGTCTGACTGTAACCTTTCACATCTACTTCACTAATATATGTTTATACTTAATTTAAATAATACACTAGATAGATAAAAATATACCAAGTATTAATTCTGATACCAAAAGGAAGATGCAATGCTTTCAAGTAGATTCGAACGGTACTATGAAACAGCGTCTGACTGTCCATATCTACTTCAGAGAGCGAAATTGCTTTAGGAAAGATTCTCTCGTTGTCTTCGAAACTTATTTAATTATATATTATCGTAAATAATAAATATATATAATAATAAATAATAAATATTGAATTTTTATATATTATTGTAAATAATATATATTGAATAATTATATATTATTGTAAATTGAATAATTATATATTATCGTAAATAATAAATATATATAATAATAAATAATAAATATTCAATAATCATATATTATTGTAAATAATAAATATATATTGAATAATTACATATTATTGAAAATTGAATAATTATATATTATCGTAAATAATATATATAATAATAAATATTGAATAATCATATATTATTGTAAATAATAAATATATTGAATAATTACATATTATCGAAAATTGAATAATTATATATTATCGTAAGTAATAAATATATATAATAATAAATAATAAATATTGAATAATTATATTATTGCAAATTGGATAATTATATATTATCGTAAATAATAAATATATATAATAATAAATAATAAATATTTAATAATTATAAATAATAAATATAAATATATTATTGTAAATTGAATAATTAGATATTATTCAATTAAATGAATAATTAACAAATATATATATATATGTATATATAAAACATACGTACTTGTAATATTTTACAGCGATTAGTTACACACTGATCGTCGACGCACGGTTGGTACATCCCCAATGTAATGCAGTTTAAAAGAATAACCATCATGCTGACTCTCTCGAACCACGTGATGCTATGTTAAGGAAAATATGCTTCTGTTTCCGGTGATGGATGATTCGTTGCTTAGAAAAGGTAATAACAAATAAAATTGTTTCAAGAGTTCCGCACGTCGAAAAGATTTTTCCATTGACAAAAGTCAATTCAATTATTCGAACTGTACAAATTAATGAAAATGTTGATTTCAATACTCGTTCATTTTCTTTTTTTTTTTTTTATTAACAACTGAGTCTACAATTTAATTCACGTTGACGACTGATAATAGAGGAATTTGCACAAACGTTGTTGTTGAAATTATTTCTACTCTAACAGAAAATATTTATAAGTATAAAATGTTTATAGTAATAAAATATATTTGAAATATTCGTCAAATTGAAAATCTCGAAATTCAACGAATTTTCCACGTAACGCGTTACGTTATGTTGTCATTGTATGAAAAATGAATTCCGCGATTCCCAACTTATGTAACGCCAGGTACACATTATTACGACGCTGCATCCATCTTTTCTCTCTAATATTAAAATTGCCCGGTTCTCATTTAAAAACTGTCGGGATACTAACTGAATGCCACCGCGCATTCAGATTTAACTTTTCCAACGTTTCCAAGAAGAGGGAAATAAAATTGACGACGTAATTTCTTTTTTTTTCTCCTTCTCTCTCTCTCTTTTCCTCCACAATCCCCTTTGCAAAATTTTATCCCCTGAATGATATTTCTCGGTATCGTCTTTTCAAACGTGAAGTATTTTTTACTGTATCCCATAAAAAATAAATGGCAAGAAAGCAAGGATCTGACCATTTTTCTTTGTCCGGTGCTGAAAGAACAAACCAATAAATTTCGAAATTGTTGCTCTGTCTGTCAACTAACTGCAATTAAAATTCTATTTCAATTACGAGAGATGAAAAATATGACGTCTAAAATATTAAATATTCACAAAGCGTCAGTGAATTCTTTTTCTTTTTTTTTTTTTTTAGAATTATTATTCATAAATTGAATCATTCTCATGAAGCAGAATCTCTTAGCGTAGAGATATCGAGCACGTTGCAATCGAAAAATTATAAAATTATGCAAACGATCGAGAAATCGACGAACTCTTTTTTTTGTAGTTATATAATTAATTAGAATTTCATTTTAAAAATATCTTTTAACTTTTGATTATATATCACTGATAAATTTAGGAGAAATTTTCACGAAATGATGCATACGTTGATATAAAAAGTAATAAAGAAATGGAAAAAGTATAATATACTCTATAAGTTTGTACAAGTTCGCGATTTTTCGTAAATTCGACAAGAAAAGAAATAACAGGCAGGAATGAATTTCAACGGGGCATTTTTTCGCCAAAGTATAAATAAACACGTTAGAGAAAGAAAACAACTCCCCTTGGAGCAGAGTTTCGAATTTTAAGAACTTCACCTAACTAAAATATGTTTGAAAAAAAAGAAAAAAAACGTATTCATGCCTCGAAGTTGATACATTATTCACGAAACTTCGTGAAAAAAAGAATGCTCTTACGACGCGAGGAATTAGTTTAACACATTAATTTGCACATGTAATTACGCATAATTAATCACGTGAGCGCAGACTCGACATGAGGAAGCTTGGGGACATTTTTTTTTTCTTTTTTTATTTCGCTCGAGAAATTTTCTTGATTGACAAAGTATTTCAAAGGGAAATTGCAAGAGAGGTTCCGACATTCTGAATTTTCTGAAAATATATCATTTTCCAAAAATCATCTGGTGGCAACGAAAAGTATAAAATAACGATTGAAAAGGTATCATTTACGATGTGAAAGTTATTTTGACTTGATGTATGACGTTTCGAAGAAATAGGTCTATGTAGAAAAGTGATCTGATTATATTTAGTATCTGTTAAATATTTTTCTCTCCTTAAAGAATAAATTCATTTGTTCCATCTAAAATGTTACCATTCTAAAATGGCAGAGGATGCAAATGATTGAACGTGACTAATAAAATTAATCGATCAAAAGGAATCTCGTATTTCGAAAATACGAAGCAGGACAAAAAGGAATACTCTAAAATTTATAATTAATTAATTGTTAAAAAATTAAAATTATTAAAAATTAAAATTACTAAAAATTAAAATTACTAAGAATTAAAATTACTAAAAATTAAAATTACTAAGAATTCAAATTACTAAAAATTAAAACTACTAAAAATTAAAACTGCTAAAAATTAAAATTACTAAATATTCAAGTTACTAAAAATTAAGATCACTAAGAATTAAAATTACTAAAAATTCAAATTACTAAAAATTAAAATTACTAAGAATTAAAACTGCTAAAAATTAAAATTACTAAATATTCAAATTACTAAGAATTAAAATTACTAAAAATTAAAATTACTAGAAATTAAAATTACTAGAAATAAAAATTACTCAAAATTAAAATTATTAAAAATCAAGAATATTATAATTAATTCTAATAAAATTAAATAATTAATTTTTTTAACAAATCTAGTCAAACTTTCTAGCTAACTTTCATATTACATCTTCGTATTACGTGTTTATAACAATAAAAATTGCATAAAGCGACGTTTTTAACGCGCCTAACAACCTGTGATAATTAAAATAATTAAAAAATCGTTCGCCGGGAGGATACGAAATTGACCGAAATGAGTGTTCGTTCGATTTATAATTTACTTCGTTAACAAGTCGAGACGAATCTTCCGCGCGGGTAATTCGATTGTGAAATAATCGAACGAGCTGGTATCGTAACACGATATTAACCCCTTCATTTCCCATTACGTTCGCTCGACATAACGAATGGACCAGAAACGTCCATTTGCTCGTCCCCTTTTTTTTATTTTTCTCTCGACGATTATTCCTCGATCAACGACCAGCAAGGAGATCGCCTCAATATGACGATCTAATCCGGCGATTGTTCTCCACCCTTGGGACTGTTCCAAAGTCCGACATTGCCACCCTGTCGCGCCAATTTAACGCCGATGTCTCTAACGTTTCACCATCGCGTCGTCACAAAACGATCGATCGGCAAGACAAGGCACAACTGTAATCTTGCTGATCGATCACCGTTGCCAAGTGACTATTACCTAAACACTTATCCTCCTCGATGCGTGACTTGTGGTTCCACTTGTCACAGATAAAGACCAAATGATATTTCACTGGCAATTAGACCGATCCTTTTCTCTCTCCTTTCCTTTCTTTCTCTCCCTTTCTCTCTTCTTTTTGCAGATGCGTCGTGTTTTACGAGAAAGTTTGAAGACAGGTGAATTGCCCTCGAAATTCGAATTTGGAAATTCGAATTGTTCCTATAGGGTGGTCACTAAAAAACTAAAGGGTTTGAAAAGAGTTTAAAATAAAATAAAATGAAATGAAATGAAATGAAATGAAATGAAATGAAATAAAATAAAATAAAATAAAATGAAATGAAATAAAATTAAATTAAATTAAATTAAATTAAATTAAATTAAATTAAATTAAATAAAAATAATCACAAATAATACTGAAAAACTCCATTAATTACATTTCTAAATAAAATAATAAAAAGTTAAAAGAACATGTGTTTGTAAAAGTTATTTTTGCTTTATATCAATCTTTCAGTGGCCACCCTATTATATTCGTGCATATGAGAGAAACGAAATTTGTGAAACGATAATAGGAGACAGAGAACGATGAAAATAATAATTCGAAGTAATTATTATCGATGTAAATTGTAATGAAATTTCATTTATATCAGCAATTCGGTTCATTCGAATTTCAATACACGATTAAGTGAACTCTCGCTGATTGAATAGCTCCTGTTTGAACTTGAGTTTCCATTGTACGAACGAAAAATCACAAGCAGAGGAGAGTTTCAGCGAAGTCCTGTTATGTGAACCTCAATTATATAAAGTAACTGTCCACTGATAAGTTCGTATAAGCGAAATTTGCATATAAATCTGACATTGTGATCAGTGAAAAAATATAATGAATTCCAATTACATGATTAATTTACCCACCGATAAGTTCATATAATCGGAGTTTTTAATTACTATTTAAAAAAAAAATTTTAATTACTATTTAAATTTAAGTAATAAAAAAAATTTTAACTACTACTTAAATTTAAGTAATAAAAAAGAATTTTAATTACTATTTAAATTTAAGTAATAAAAGAAATATTAATTACTATTTAAATTTGAGTAACAAAAAAGAATTTAATTATTACTTAAATTTTGTATATAAATTTGAATTTTGTATATAAATTTTGTATATTTTGAGTAACAAGAAAGAATTTAATTATTACTTAAATGTTGTATATAAATTTTGTATATAAATTTGAACTCAAGTTAAGTTGTATGATCAGTGAAAAAATACACAGTCCAATCACATGCACTAAACTCTTGTTTGCCAATAAATTCGTATAAAGTGAATTTTACTGTATTTTATATTTGAACTTGACGAATTGCGATCAATGAAAAGAGAGCAGGTCTATTATTTCTTCTCTGATTTCTACTCCTTTTTAATTATCGCCCGTAATTAACAAATCCAATACTCCAGTATGTACACTTCAGGTGAAAAGTTTCAAGCACCCCTTTGCTTCTCAAACCGGACGAACTTTCTCGTATATTTTTCTTGGAAATAAGAATATCGCCATTGTAAATTTCATTTCCGAATGAATTATAATATTTAAATTCCATTTCCAGATTAATTGAATAATGATAATATTTATTTGGTTAAGCAGGTCGTTGTTTGTTAGAATCCGAATCAACTTTCGATGAATCTAGAGATTAAAACGAATATTATATTATGTTCTTAATATATTCTATATACTAAATATATTAATATTAATTATTATATCATATTATATCGTATTACATTATATTATATTGTATTGTATTATATTATATTATATTGCATTATATTATATTATATTGCATTATATTGTATTATATTGTATCATATTGTATTATATTGTATTATATTATATTGTATTGTATTGTATTGTATTGTATTGTATTGTATTGTATTCTATTATATTATATTGTATTGTA